CTCTTAGTTTTGAATATTTAGGGATTTTTAAAGATCAAAATATTTTTGCATATAGACAATCCACAGTGATATTTTTGTAAATATACACATCAAAAACGACATTTTTGCAATTGTCCCAAAAATATTTAACCAACCAAAAATTTATATCATTTACTTTTTTTTTAGCATTGAAAATGATATTCTATTAGTATAAAATTAATCAAAATTGTCTCAAATTAACCTACGAAAAATATAATATAAATTGTAAAAGAAAGTAAAAGGAAACCTCAAGAAAATTCAACAAACGTTAGGTAATTAAGAAATTTCTTAGACTTTCTATGACTGCAAATCTAGTCTTATTTATAGCTACTTGCCAAAATAAATTAATTATGCTGATCTACGGTAATAAATCAACGTAAAGTAGAAGGGCAATATGGTAAATAATACTATAAATTTAGGGTATAATCGTAAATAACCACCGTACTCTCTTCTTCTTCAAGCTAAAAAGCCCTTTCTCCATTCCACCAAAAAAAAGAAGAAGCCCTTTCTCCATTTTCAACTTCTTCTGATGAACAAAGCAAAAAGCTTTTGATAAACCCAAAGTTTCAATCTTTCTTACATTTCGCCACTAAGATTCCATTTCCAAACATTTTACACCTTCAAAAATCAAGCTTTGTGTGAGCCACCATGTGTGGAGGAGCTATAATCTCCGATTTCATTCCGCCGCCGAGGTCTCGCCGTGTAACCAGCGAGTTAATCTGGCCGGATCTGAAGAAAAACGTTAAAGGATCGAAGAAAATCTCGAAAAAGAGTTTCTTTGATCTTGACGATGAGTTCGAAGCTGATTTTCAGAGTTTCAAAGATGATTCATCGATCGATTGCGACGATGATGATTTCGATGATGTCTTCTCCGATGTGAAACCGTTTGTTTTCACTGCGACGACGAAACCCGTCGTCTCCTCCGGTGCTTCCGCCATCGTCAACGGTAAGTATTTGGGGATTTTTGCTCTGTTCTAAACATGTTTGCTTTTGATGTGAAATCGTTTGACTTTGTTTGTTTATGAGCTAAAATATCATTCATAGGTTTGTGTTCTCTCTTAAAGTCTGAATCTTTAGAATCATTTGTTCTTGGGTTTGTATGTTTATGTCAATGATTTTTGAGTGTTGTTATGAAAGCATGAAACTTGATTCGTTATTCTTTGGAATCATCGTTTGAATCTGTTGATGAAGAACTCTTTTGTGTGTTGTTGTTATTGTGACCATTAGATTCAGGTTTAGGTAAGAAAGTTGTTGACTTTAATGGAGAAGCTGAGAAATCTGTAAAGAGGAAGAGGAAGAATCAGTATAGAGGGATTAGGCAACGTCCTTGGGGTAAATGGGCTGCTGAGATTCGTGATCCGAGTGAAGGTGCTAGAATCTGGCTTGGAACTTTCAAAACAGCTGAAGAAGCTGCAAGAGCTTACGATGCTGCTGCTCGTAGAATCCGTGGCTCGAAAGCTAAGGTGAATTTCCCCGAGGAGAACCCAACCGTCGTCTCTCAGAAACAACATCCTGCGAGGCACACAGTGGCTAAATCAGACCCGGCTTTGGTTCAGAACTTTGACAATATGTGTTTCATGGAGGAGAAACATCAATTGAACAACAACAATCAGTTTGGGTTGACGAATACGATTGATGTTGGAGGTAATGGTTTTCATCAGTATTTCAGCTCAGACCAAGGGAGTAATTCGTTCGATTGTTCTGAGTTTGGTTGGAGCGATCAAGCTCCGGTAACTCCCGACATCTCTTCTGCTCTATTCGTCGAGGAAGCTAATCCAGCTAAGAAGCTCAAGTCCATGGATTTCATGACACCTTACAACAACGCCGAATGGGACTCTTCACTTGATTTCCTCAACGTAGACGCTGCAGCGACTCAGGGCAATGGTGCAAACCCTATGGATCTATGGAGCATCGACGAGATTCATTCCATGATTGGAGGAGGCTTCTGAAAAAAGATCCATTCTCAATGTAAATAAGGTTGCATGTTAGCGAGTTACCTG